AAAAAAATACTATCTAATAAAATAAATATTTAGAATAAATTTAATTTATAATATTTATTTCAAAGATTCTTAACACTTGTTAAGAGTATATTTTAATTATTATAAATTAGAAAATTATATAAAATTTATAATAAATTAAGTAAATTATTTATATAAAATAAAAAATATTATATAAGATATATACTATTAGAACAGGACTATGTATATATATATAATATAAGTATTTTATATAATAAGTAGAATTTAGATTAAAAAAATTAATTTTAACTAATATCAGAGATTATTTTAAATTTATTAAATTAATAGTATATAAAAATAATTCTCCTATCTTTATTATATAGATTTAATAAATTATAAATATTAATTTTAATATACTTATAGATAAAAGTATAAAAAGACAGATTAAATAAAAATTAATTTAAATATACTTTAATTATATTAATATTTAAATAAATATAGTAGACAGGTCTTAGCACCAAGATTAATTAAAATAATTAATTATTCTAATTTTAGCTGTACTGTGGTCAGGTATAAGAATTCTCTTAATCTGACTATTAACCTGACAGTCAGGTATAAGAATTGTTGATAACCTGACCTGACCTGGCCATTGCCCACTCTAGAAGCAGGCACTGAAATAGAAATAAAATTAATAAAATTATAATTAGAATAGATAATATTAATAATAAATATTATAAAAATATAATTATATTTATTTATTATTATCTTTTAATATAATTTTAATCTTCTTAAAAAAATTACAGAGAAATCTTATAAATTATAATAATAAAAAATAAGAGACTATATAGACTAGTTAAATATTATATTTAAATTATAAATTATTACAGAATTTAATAAGATTTTAAAATATAAATAAATTTATTTTTTTTTATAATAAATTATTAGACAGGCCAGCAGACTAGAAAATATAATAAATATTAGTAAAAAAGATTTTTAGTCTAGTAGTTAGTATAATAAAATAAAATTAAAATATAAATAAAAGTAGATAAAATAAAATTAAAAAATAAATAAGAATAAATAAAGCAGGATTAGAATAAAAATAAAAGCTAATAAAACTAAACTAAAAATAAAAAAAAAAGAAAAAAAAATATAAAAAAAAAAAAAAAGAAAAAAAGAAAGATTATTTTTATATATTTTATATAAAAAAAAACACAGGAGAGAGTAAATATAATTTAAAAAAAAAATAAAAAAAATAAAAGAAAAATAATAGAAATTTATTTTTTACTATTAAATTTAGAATAAAGTAAGATCACGGCTTTAAAAGAAATACTAAAAATATATCTTTTACTTATTAAAGTTAAGTAAAACAGTTTTATAAATAATACAGTTAAAACAGAAAGTAAGATAAGATTAAAATAAAAAAATAATAATATAAAATTAAAAATAAAAAGAGTAAATCTCTTTATTCTTATTAAATATAAAAAATAATAAATCTATATTTTTATATATATTTATTTTTAATCTAGACTAGTTTAATATCCAGCTGGAAGTATAGACTATCTTTATTTATAAATAAAAAAAAAAAAAAGAAAAAAGAAAAAAATTTTTTTTATAAAAATCTAAATTAATTATTTAACTGATAAACTGATTAGATAAATTTATATTAAAAAAAGAATTTCTGCTTAAAATAATAATAGAAGTTATATTAAATAAATAACTAAGATTAAAATATAAAAAAGAAAAATCCATAGATATCAGATACCTGGAAATAAAGAAAATAGAAATAATATAAAATCCAGGAATTAAGTATTAAAATAGAAATATAAATAAGAAAATTAAGAATTAAAATAAAATATAAAACTACAGTAAAGCAGATCAGCTGGAAATCTAAATTTAAAGTATTCTAGTTTATAAGTATATCTATCTTTATATTATTATTTTATTAAAAAAGAGAGATAATATTACAGGATAAGTTTTTTATTAAAAAACTTAATTAACTAGTCTTATTACTGCTTGCTGATTAAATATAATATATAAAATCTTAGGAGTTTTAAGGCCTTATTCTAAATAACAGCTATTCCTTCTTGTCCAACAGGCGACGTACTCTTGGAACCAAGGGGCGACCCCTAACAAATCTAGTCTTAATTATATACTCACGGATTTATATATAATATTTAGCTTTAATAATAGAAGTAATATTGCTTGTAGATTAATTTTAATAAAATATATTAATAATCTCAGTCTTGTACAGCTTAAGATTAATAATTAGATATATTATAATTAATATTATAATTAATAAATAAAATATTATATATAAAATAATAATAAGTATTATATAGCAGTGAGGTCAGCAGTGAGTATACTTCAATACTAAAAATCATTATTGCCTGATGGCCGCTATTGCCCGCTGTAGACAGGACCTAATTGTGGAAGAAACAGTTGGCGATACTCTTGGATGAGGTGGCAAAGAGGACAAAGAAACAAGCAACATTCCAAATGCCATAGTATCTTGTCTATTGGTCTCACTTGCGTTAGATACTAAGCTTGCTAGTCTCTTCGTTCAATTTGAGGCCGTTGCCCAGACCCGGGGTTTTCCTGCCCCTGCTAGTGCTGTTTTATAACCGTTTATAACCTAATGAATCTTCCCTACATTGTACAGCTACTAGCAGTGATACATAACTAACCCATACCTAATTTGGTGGGGTAATTCGCTTATCATTAGTGAGATACCATTCCTTTTCACCCACTACTTAGGCTCCTCCGGCCACTTTTCCTCCGACGCATCATCACCCTTCCACTCCTTATCCCGGACTCTTTTACTCTCCCATATTTAGTTTTTTTAGTTTTCCATTGCCATCAAAATCCCTCCATAGTACTATCCCATCTCCAAAGGTCACTATGACTACCACCTACCCCCCAACTAACAACCCGGCCATCGTCCTCGTCTCTGGCGCCTGGCACCAACCATCATCTTACACCTCTTTCACCACCGCGCTTCGCAACCTCGGACATGAAGTCCACGTGCCTTGCCTTCCCTCTATTAATGGCGCCCGTCCCCCAAATGCTGGTCTAGAAGAAGATAGTGTATTCATCCGCACCTGCGTGGAGAAACTCGTCTCTGCCGGCCGCGAGGTTCTGGTTCTGCTTCACTCTTACGGCGGCCAGGTCGGAACGAATGCCCTATCCAACGGCCTCGGGGTCACAACCCGTCGCGCGCAGGGCCTCACTGGCGGCATTGTTCAATTAGTCTACATCGCCGCTTTTGCGCTCACAGAAGGGGTCTCCATGGTTGAGGTCGTCATCTCTCACGGCCACGGTCCCTTGATGGACGTGGCCTTTGACTTTGCCGAGGACCGAACCTGCATCTCCCGAGACCCCAAGAACCTCCTGGTCGGTCCATCCAAAAAGTCAGACGAGGAGACTGACGCCTATATTGCGTCCTTACAGCGGTGGAACGGGAAGGGCTTTGACGGCAAGCTCCAGCATGTCGCCTGGCGACTGGAGGAAGGGGGTATTCCTCAGATCGGATACATCTATTCAACCCAGGATATGACTGTACCCTATGAATACCAGAAGGAATTTGTGCAGACGATGCGGGAAGCTGGATGTCAGGTTCGTACGTGGGAGTTGGAGACTGGACACTGTGCACTGTTTACCAAGTGTGAGGAGGTCGTGGAAATTGTTCATGGATTAGCCATTGGAAAATGAAAGGACAGGAGCGTTGATAGTATTTGATGAACATGAACACACAATCGCCACATAAATAGCAAAATCTCGAAGGAATTGTACTTTCGCGTTCTGTAACCCAGATAACTTTCATGGCGGCTAATGCGGCTACTAGTGCAAGTAGACAACTCTTTGGATATTATAGAGAATTCTCGAAGAGTGTCGGCCCTTTTCGAAAAGGAACAGCAGATTTATTTATCTGTTCTATGATCTTCTTAGCCGTAGAACTCACTTAGACAAGTAACTAGTCTTCTTCCAGCAAGATTGAATGATTTTCAGGGGAACTAATCCTTGGGGTAACTATATATTTTGGTGGATAGCAGTAAAAGACGAGCTTGTGGAATAGAAGCCCACTCCATTATGACCAGTGAGCAGTTGACATGGACTGCTACGACCTATTTACTGGCTTAACTGCTTTAAGATAGAGCTCAGAACTGATCTGAGTGGCTGGCGGGTTAGGGCGGGGTAGTACTGAGTGTGTAACGAAAAGGGAACCTGCAGTGCAGATCAGTAGGGAGCATTCCCCAATGCCATCTTACTCCACATACGGTACAGGATAATCCAGTTAAAGATGCATGTTTGGCCTTGATTCCTCTAGCCAACAACTACTATTTAGGGAACAGAATTAACCACCAATGCAGGCTGAATCACATCTTGTCACTGACTATCACATCTCCAAGGTCTTACCGCCACGGTTATCACTCCAACTTGGGGCCCGCTTACGCCTCCGGCTCCTGCCCACTCTTCCCGCGGCCCCATGTACCATTCCGCCATCAGTGCTTTGTGTACTGTGTAGTATCGGTATGTAGAACTATGCTAATGTAGTTGTAGGAACAAATGTTCCTCGAGCTCAATGCCATGAAAGATGAGTACTCGGTATGCTTTTTGCTTTGCAGCAAGGTTTGGAGTCCACGACCCATCCTGCAAGCCCTCACAAACTGCTGCTCCTATCTAACCAACCACCCACGATACTAGCCCTGTGACCGCACCAGCCCTAAGGCAGTCACCCCCGCCCTTCGCGACATACTGCCCCTCAGCCAGACTGGGTATTCCCCACTGCTCCAGCAGTCCATAATCAAGCTATCAGGCTATTGATCCAACAGCATCACGCACCCAGAAACCTGGCGTTTCCGCTGTGTAGCCGAAGCACAATGATCTGTTCACATTGCGCACAACTGATGCCTCTGACCAAGCTGGTGGCGCAGGCTCGCAGCTAGCTGGTGATAGGGATCGACATAAGATGAACCGTCCCCCCTTTTTTTTCTTTGTTCTTTCCGTGTACCTTGACATCGCAGCCCCACCTTCAATGCAACGCCGTGGGGTTGAATGTCTAAAAAATGAGGCCTTGTTACAGTAAGGTGGAAAGTGGCTGTTCAGTCTATGACAATGAGGGGCCTTCGGCAAAAAGCCTGCTTTCTCACCCACTCGTGCTAAAAAGATTGGTTTTTTATGACACCTGCAGTGTCGCTCGGTATCATGTATATGAATGCTCTTTACAAGATACAGTCATGTACGAGAGCCTAGCTAAAATGGAAAATGCGATCATATGAAGACGAACGGCTGGTAGCCTATTTCCTCAGGTCTATCTCAACTACCTACACCATTTCTCCATGGCCAGATATACAAAAACCTAGTCGAACCATTTCTGATCCTTGTCCTCCATATACACCTTGGGAATTTCACCTCTTCCATCAATAAAGACAGAACCACTATCAGGCTGATTGTGGCCGCCCTCCTCATACGAATATGAGATAATCTTAGGCTTCTCAATAACTCCCAACGAATTCGAAAGAATGGATTCAATGATCGCATCATATTGCGGGAAGGGTTTAGGTCTCGCAGAGGGTCCATAAACTATTGCATACCTTTTCTCATCCGGGCCCAAGAAGAGCCCTGCATTTTCGTTGAAGAGATTCAGAAAGGCGGTCGCTTTTTTCCACAGTTGCGTTAGACTAGCATTGTGTTCTTCCATGCTGCAAGGGGGCAGAGGAACGTTAGCTAAAATGGCACCTTTGGTGGAAACGAGCACAAGAGCCGAATTGCCATTCAGCCTCCTGGTACCAAGTGTTCTTATGGTTTGTCCACTCGTGAAGGAGACAAAGTCGACTTCGCCAATGGGGACTTCAATTGCCTCGTTGGACTGCAGGGCGTCCTCGAAGAGGGATGCGGTGGAGACGATTGGAAGAGGCATTTTGATGGATGGGCTGGGTCTGGGTTGGAATCTCGATTGAATATCAGGCAGAGCTGTTTGAGTTTGGCTTTGACGAGCTATGAGAACTTCGCAGATCCTTTTCCCTTACCGGCTTATTTATATATTTCTTTCTCCATTCTAGAAGCAACTATATACTTGCAAAAATCAACCCATGTGGGTTTTCGAACTCGGCCAAGTTTAGTAGGATTTATACTTAGATATCCTCTATAACAAATGGAAGAAGCCGTTACAGCATTATATATACCTTGTTTATCCGAGCAGAAATCAACAAATTTAACTGTGAAACAAGCATCCTTCTATGGGAATGATGTGTCTATTTTAACCAATCCGAAACGCGTGTTTCCAAGAAAATTCTTATCCATCCTGCTCGGAGCTATACAATATATTATATAGACTATAGTCCGCGGCCCTGGTAAGTCTTCTCTCAGTCGATTGTACAATATTCTAAAGGCATAAGTTCTTATATAAATTTGGTCAAAGAAATTTTCCTTGCCATCACTGGGATCTTTCCTATCATCTCGAGCAGGTCGAGGATCCAGTCAGAAATGTTGCGTCGGAAAAAAGCAAGATGTATGGGTCTTCTGTCTCTATATATAATCTGCATTTCCAGCATGTGCTCACCAAAATAAGGAAGCTTCCAGGTCTAATGCATAATTTTCGAAACTGCAACCTTTCATGAGCAACTTGCCAATTTCGGTCATGCTTCCATTCCAATCTGATCAATACAGAAGTTCATCTAGGTAAGTATCGCTGTGATCCGGGAGAACCATAGCAATGCTCCGATCGTTCCGCTGTGAAGAAGTCGATGTTTCATCGTTTTGGCACAATCAGACAAGAATCAACCATCCTTAGATAGTCCCTAAATCGGGCTGGGATATGTATATGCCACTCACATGCGGGGCTTGTGGATGAAAGTTTGGTGCAAGTCATCCACACGAACGACATAAATCACGTCGATTGATGTCCCGGCACGATTAATAGATCCGATTGCTTGACTCAAAAGGGACCATTATGCGCTCTGCAGTGATCGCCCTAATAAGGCATAGTGCAACACCCTTTGAGTCCCAGCTCATATTCAACCCCTCTGGTCCGCAAACACAGAATAGGATGTAGAGTTATCCATCATCATGGAACTTGATCTACCAGATATAGAATTCGTTGAACAGATCAAAAGCTCTACATCATCATGTATCTTTCGCACGTGCTGGCGCAATAGAGACTGTATCTTGAAAGTGGTACATAACCAATGGTGATCCAAACCTTCAATGCCTAACATGACTGCAGTACCACAGTATCATAGCATCTCATGCCGATCCCATAGATCGCGAAGTAAATATCTATAGGTACGAAAGTCAAGCCTATATACCACGAAAGGCCCATGGTCTTTGCCAAAAGGGGTCTATTCCGGGTTTTTATAGCCTGATCACCGGGATCAACCCAAAGAAATGGCTGCCATACCTCAATGAGCTTTTCGATGACAATCTACTTCCTAACGCTATTCTGATTGAATATATACCGAATCTTCAGCAGATCGGTATACCTTCTCCAAAGAGGGAGTCAACAAACTGCACCAAATACTTGCAGAAATACATCAAGCTCGTGTGTATCATGCAGATCCATATCCACAGAATATGATGGTTCAGGAAGGGTCAGACAGGTACTCTGGCTTGATTTCGATCGGGCACAGACATCTCCTACGACTCAATCGTAGCTCGTCAGCGGTAGTGGCTGGAAAAGGAAGACGAATTGATGGATTATTTCGTTGATGCTCTTGTACGGAATAGATCAACAGATATCTTATTGTTTCTAGACTAATGATTTGGAATAGGCAGCAGATTATGAGGATGGCAAGATTCATCGCACGCGGGAATGTTATTACGAGTAAGTTCAAGTCTCTATCAGATTGGCGATGCTTCGTTGGCTATATCGAAACAGGGGCATAAATCTACCGCCTCAAAACCCTGAGAACAGCTAATCAGGCATCTGAATAAATCGCTGGGTTTTTCGAACCTCAGCTGATATTTATGGGGTGGCAGAATAGTTATATTCAAATTGTACCACCGCTATTTAGTTGAGTAGTCTCGAACACACACTCAGGTGGAAAGTAAGATATTTCAATCTATACTGTACTCTACGAAGTTGGGAAGGAAATCCCTCTGAGGCTATAAGAGTGATATTAGTCAAAGTCGAATGTTAGCAGATTTGATCTGCTTCATACCCCGGTCACCCGTAGCCCACCCGATCGATAAATTTTTCTGTTTGCTCAAGATTGAGTTTGACATACATATCCTGACATGAGAAGAACATTTTGTAATAAAATTGCTGGATACATCTCAATTGAATTGGCAGGGAAAGGCGGACTGCGGGGAGAGCTGGGGCGGGGAATGGAATGGAGGCCGGGGATCGGCAACGTTCATTCATTCTTCTCTTCATCTTACATCTCTTCTTGCATCCACCTCCATGAAGCTGCTACTGTAAAAGCCCCAACATATAAGCTAAATCAGCATACGGTGATCTGCCTTATTAAAAGTTCACTGTCACTGCTCACAACAGATGGTTGGACTCAAAAAAGGTGGAAAGCGGCGCAGAATAGGTATGTTCCAAGCCGTTATGTTCATCTGAACGAGCACTGATAAGCTAGCAGGATGGTAATATCTCACTGTATTCCGAATAATACTGGATTAGAAAGTCTGAACAGACATGTCATAGCACTCGTTGCAGAGCCAGCCATACAAAATGTGACGAAAAACGTCCCCGCTGCGGGCGCTGTCAAAGACTCGACCTTGAATGCCAGCCATCCGACTTCATTATCCCCTCAAACTGGAACCCCCCGGCCTCCCAATCACAAGCTATTGATCAAATGACCGATTTTCCAACCTCCACCTGGGACGTTTTCAACAATACTTCCACCCCATTCGGCAATGCAGTCCCATCCACCCAACCCATCCCTCACACTAAATCATCATCACGTCCAACTCTCGATACAGAAAAGGTGGCACTACTCCAAGAATACCAAAAGGGAGTAGGAACATGGGTAGGCTTATTTGACAACGCCCGACATCTCACGCACACCATCGTCAAACGTGCACTCGAATCCCCACTCCTTCTTAATGCGATATGCGCCCTCACCGCCAGACAGATGAGCATGGCAGGAAGAGGAGAGATGTGGGAAACCACCGCCGTCCACTACTACGGAGAAAGCCTCCAGCAGTTGATCCATATCTTGAATGACCCATCATATGGATCTGATGATACTCTCGCTGCAACAGTTCTACTGAGTAGCTACGAGCTGTTTGCCTCTCCAGGTCTGGATCATCATCGTCATGTATCAGGTGCCGTGACTCTGATCAGAACTAATTCACATAATGCTAGTTCTGGGGGCTTGAAGGGGGCCGCATTCTGGGTGTATGCGCGCCAGGATGTTGCCATGGCTTTGGTGCATGAGTGTCCAACTATGCTTTTGCCGGAGGAGTGGGGGGTAGGGTGGACTGATCAGGAGATCGATGAGGATCTTCTGGGAAATAAGATTATTTGGATTGTGGCTAAGATTATAGCGCATACGTTTGGGAAGGCTAGTGGTGTCACTGAGCGCTCACTGCGTCGTGATAGAATGCGTTTGATTGAGGAGCTAGAGACCTGGAGGGGTTCATTGCCTACACCTTTTGCTGGTCTACCTTTTGGTACTCCTTCTGAAGAAGGATTTGTCAAGCGGTTATTTGCGATTCCTTCAACGGGTGGGTTTATATTCATGTTATTATTGATTCGGCTAATTGATGGCCCAGCGGCAGCGATGTGCATGTATCACTTGGCATATCTGCTATTGCTCACCGAAGGACGCAACCCATCTCTTGCGGGTGAAATTCCGCGGGTATATATAACAGACTACCTTGTACAAGTACTTCTGTTTGATACTGACGGATGATAGGAGGAAGTGGATACACATGCACGATCTGTGGCAAGCATAGCCTTATCACCTATATCAGATGCTTCACTTGTGCAAGCAGCGCAGCCATTGTATTACTGTGAGTCAGAGGTCATCATTTATAGAAAGGACACTAAAGGATATAATAGCAGCAAAACATTCATCCACTGTCGCTGAAAAGTTCAAGATGTGGACACTTCTTGGTGAAATTGAGAACCGACTCGGATTCCATACAGGCCATCGCATTAAGCAGCTCCAACAACAATTCAAGCTAGTCTGAGATAAACACATAAAGTCATTCTCCATATGCCCGGGGTGGGTAAGGGGGAAATTATATTTAATAATATTTTTATTAATTCAGTTATA